AAGTAATGCTACTCCATTAAATCATTACATATCAACACTACGCAATAGTTCATAGCGCTTTCAGATATTTTTTTAACTAAACAACCGATCAGAGCAGAGTTTTTCCAATAAATCCAATCTAAAATTAGTAAAATGAAAATGTAAGACTGAGCCATGGGGGATGGGGCTGAAAATGTAAGACTGAGCCATGGGGGATGGGGCTGAAAATGTAAGACTGAGCCATGGGGGATGGGGCTGAAAATGTAAGACTGAGCCATGGGGGATGGGGCTGAAAAGGTAAGACTGAGCCNAGCCACTGAGCCATGGGGGATGGGGCTGAAAATGTGTCACACAAGTAACGCACTTTAAAAGAATCAAAAAAAGTGTTAGCCCCCACCTCCCCCCACCCAAGGCTCACAACAGTAATTTTTTTTTTCCGCCCCTTAACTACGTTACTATTCTAATGACCCCCCCCCCTGCTTTTACATGGCAAATTTTTTTTACCAACTTTTTTAGACAAACAAAAGAAAATAGTTCGTACTAAACGCATAGACAATACTTTAAAAAAAAAAAAAATAAAGGCTTTAGCGTGGCTGTCCGGAAATTTATGTCGTGAAATCAGTGTCCTCATATTTGGGGTCTGGGGCTGAAAATTTGACCTAATTTGTTGTCATTGACAACGAGTTTATGTGCCAAAATTCAGCTCGTTATTTTGACGGGAAATGGGTCAGCTAGTCGTCCGAAGACGCAGCCAGCCAGCCACGAAGAGAAGCAAGTCAATATAAAGGATTTAAAAATAAGTGTTATCACACTACAGTTGTCTTGTTGATGTTACTATAAATAGAAGACATTACCTTGATATTTTGAAATGAGAGTAAAGGAGGGATTTAGGGAGTGAGTGAAGGAGATAGTGGAGGGGGAAATGAAAGTGTTAAAGGGAAAGAGTCAAGGAGGTCATGAAGGAGGGAGCTAGGAGAGTGATTGAAGGAGGGATTTAAGGGTGCAGTGAAGGAGTGGGTGAATGAGGAAGTGAAGGAGGGGTAATAGGGAGAGTGAAGGAGGGTTTGAGGAAAAGAGTGAAGGGGAATTTATGTAGAGATTGAAGGAGGGAAGTGGTAAATTTGGAGAGATAGCACCGTGGCAGCCATCTTGGTTGCCGCGACCCGCGAACTTATGTCCTAAATGTATCCCTAAACCTAACCTGAACCCAAAACTTATCCCTAACTTGGGGATTGACTCTATCGGAACCAGGGACAAAACACGCAAATGACGTCAAGGTGCTATCTTTCCAAATTAGCCGAGGAAGTGAAGCAGGGAGTGAAGGAGGAACTAAAGGAGATCGTAGAGAAGGGAGTGGCGGGGAGTTAGATAAGGAGTTAGTTTGGGAGTGAAGGATCGGGTCGGGAGGGAGCGAAGGAGGGTGTGGGGGAGAAAGTGATGGAGGGAGTTAGTTAGTGATGAAGGAGCGGGTCACGGAGGGAGGGTGTGGAGGAGGGAGTTAGGGAGGGGTTAGGGAGGGGGTTAGGGAGAGCGTGGAGGAATGAGTTAGTGAGCCGTTGAAAGAGGAAGGGAATGAGATAGTTATGACTGGATTATTTATATCTTAGGACATGTGTCAACGTGCACACCCCTCCCCTCCTCCTCCCCTGTGGGGTTATGGGACGTTGACCCCGGATGTCTTGTCACAGGCAGCAGTAGAGTGACAGGATCTCAGAGCCCACTTTTTGGCTGTGACTTCGGCACCCCAAAGACCTTTATCCGGCCTACGATTAAGACCGTCACCCCAAAGGCCTTTATCCGGCCTATGAGCTAATATCTGAATAATTATTGATTATTTCATAAATTTATTTTGACGTTAAAAATCAAATTATTTGCGATTAAACCTTGTATTCGCCAATTAGTATTGCTGATATTGTATCGTTTGGTGCTGAGAATTGACTGATCACTGAACGAGTCAAATCTGAAATTTTACTGAGAATATTGATTTTTTCTTTTTGTTTCACATCTTTAATTTGAATGAGAATATTGATTTGTTTATTTAATTTAATATCGTGGTCAATAATTTGACTTTGTACCGTTAATATTGTCTTGCTACATTCAATGACTCAGACAATCTTATCTCATTCAGCTGTCTGGGCCTATCTTATCTCATTCTGCTGTCTGTGACAATCTTACCTCATTCTGCTGTCTGTGACATTCTTATCTCATTCTGCTGTCTAGGCCTATATAATCTCATTCTTACCATTTGTGACAATCTTATCTCATTCTGCTGACTGTGATAATCTTATCTCATTCTGATATATGTGACAATCTTATCTCATTCTAATGTATGTGACAATCTTATCTCATTCTGCTGTCTGTGACATTCTTATCTCATTCTGCTGTCTGTGACAATCTTATCTCATTCTGCCCCATGTTACTAATTCTAACGCGATACCTCAACATCTCCTCTCTCACTTGGCTGCCAGACCGTGGACACGAGAATGACAACATAAAAAGTATGGAAGACTTTATATAGGTCACTTAGTGATGACCCCTGGTGACTCAGGGCGTGACAGGGAGAGACTAAATATAGGTCATCTACTGGTGCACCAAGGCGATATAGAGCATGACAGTGAGAGACTAAATGTAGGTCATCTATTGGTGCACCAAAGCGATATAGAGCATGACGGACAGAGACTTATATTTTAATTTTATTTTGGTTTTGCATAGGCCTAAAATAATGTAACTCAGATATTTTTTTAGAAGAAAACAACAATACCCGGAAAACAACAATACCCGGCAACAACAATACCCGGAAACAACAACACCCGGAAACGACAATATCCGGTAGCAATACCCGAACCTATTTTTGGAGGATTTGATTTCAGTTTTATGAAGATAAGTCTGGCTTCGCCAAACCGTTCAGTTAACGGTGTAGCTAACGGTATAGCCAACGGTGCGGCTAACGGTACGGCTAACAGCACGGCTAACGGTACGGCTAACGGTACGGCTAACGGTACGGCTAACAGGAAAGCTGTCGTTGGCCCCAATCAAACAATACCGGAAACGAGCTTAAAGTATAGATGACGTCATGACTAGTCTGGCCTAAACCCCAACATATTGATTATAAAGTAGAGTAATTGATATGTCTCAATCTGGCAGGAACTTGATCAAGCAGTTATCTCAGTAGGATCGATATCAGATGAGAGCTCCAGGTCATGAGCTCATCAGTAAATAGCGGAAAAAGCAGAGTTAAGGCTTGAAAATAAAAAGACAGGACAGTTAAACGGAAGTATCGGCAAGAGGCCTTCTTCGGAAGACAATAAAAACCAAGCAACAGCCGATAATCAGAGAATATAAAAAACCTATGTATAAAACTATATATAAAACCTATGTTTTGGAACATTTCTCAATCAAGTCAATGTATCTGAATGTGTAGAACCGGAAGCGCTATAACCACAATCAACGCATCAAGAAAACAGCCATCACAGCCAGTGGCGTAGCTGGCTGGGGTTTCCGGGGTCTGGACGGCCCCCTCGCTGGGGGTCAAGATACTTTTACAAAAGACACGAATCCAATGATGGCTAAGTTCGGACCCCCCTGCCAAAAAGGTACCCACGCACATGATCACAACATCAGCAAAACAATAAAATATTACAGGATTTTACAGATGGCTAGCCATGCATGTCAGAGGAGATCTTTGGACAGGTTTCCAACCTCTTCTTTATTGTACAAACCTATGAATTTTTTGTATCCCTATCAACATAGTATCCCTATCAACATAGTATCCATATCAACATAGTATCCATATCAACATAGTACCCCTATCAACATAGTATCCCTATCAACAGAGTATTCCTATCAGCATAGTTTCAAAATAGTATACTACCCTGACTGATTCCCCTCCTCTGACAGATAAACGATCTTGCTGGCTGCCGTCCATGGTTTGCCTTGTACAAGTTATAGGCTGGGGTACCCCGCTATATAAGACCTCTTATTATTATTATTATTATTATTCCTATCAACATAGTATCCTATCAAAAGTATGCAAATCAACATAGTATTTCTATCAACATAGTAATATGTTATGTATGTAATCATATTTTCACTCTCTTTGTGAATCTTCAGTTCCACATACAACACATAATTAATAACACATAACATTAGAGCTTTTCGTTGACTATTTACATACGTTAGATCTAATCATTAGCACCTGACAACAAACAATATGAAACAGCATTTTCAATATGAAATAGGAGCTCCTCATTAATAAATAAATACGTAATCAATTTAATATAGAATGGCCATTTCATCACCACATATCATCTCCAATTCATCACCACATACCATCGCCATTTCATCACCACATAGCATCGCCATTTCATCCCCATATGACATTACCATTTCATCACCACATAGTATCTTCATTTCATCAACACATAGCTTTACCATTTCATCCCCACATGACATTGCCATTTCATCACCACATACCATCGTCATTTCATCACCACAAACCATCGCCATTTCATCACCACAAACCATCGCCATTTCATCACAACAAACCATCGCCATTTCATCACAACACACCATCACCATTTCATCACCACAAACCATCGCCATTTCATCACCACAAACCATCGCCATTTCATCACCACATACCATCGCCATTTCATCACCACAAACCATCGCCATTTCATCACAACACACCATCACCATTTCATCACCACAAACCATCGCCATTTCATCACCACAAACCATCGCCATTTCATCACCACAAACCATCGCCATTTCATCACAACACACCATCGCCATTACATCCCATAGTAACTCTACTGGACAAACCCTCCGTCCATTAAGCTGTCTATTTGATCCCCGACTGCTAATCTCAGACGTAGTCAATATTTTCAAACCTAACCTTATCAGCGTTACAACACAAGCGGCGCGGATATCACAGACTGGGCGCGCATTTCTCAGCCCACGGGCCTCTAGCGCCGAAGCCTATAAAAGCCTCCCAGCCAGGAGACCATGGCAAGCCATTAGTGCGTCAAACGTTAAATTAGGTCCCGGGAACATTGGCGAATCTTCCACCCGGCGTGGTACGCCCGACTATCTCGCGTTGTTTACAAGCTGTAGCCAGTGTTGTGACCGCCACCCGGATCTCACGTCTCATATCTCGTACCGTCAAAGTTGGACACGTCTTCTCTACACGCCGATCATCTGTTTGTATATTACAAACGCGACACAAAACAGTGAGGTGACTGAGTTCAGTTGAATGGTGTTGTAACGGAAGTTTTTCTAACGGAACTTAATACGATGGGGATTTCTTCGAACTGACAACTTTTACTCTCCCAATTATTCAATCATTTCTTCCATCATTTGTTTATTATTTCTTCCATCATTTCTTCTATCATTAGAAAACAACACGATTGTGATCATTGTTCTATCTATTTCACAGCCAGTGTTAAAGGCACCGTGCAGGTGAATTATGTCCCCTGCCTTCCTTTAGGTGAGTACAGCACATTTTTATAGATCCTGCCTTGCCAGGCCAATGTGATTCGATTTTCAGAACGAGAACTTTCATAGCTAAACTGCAAACCTCATCAACCCATTTGATCTATAAGAAGGTTGGGGAGCAGCAGGGTGCGTAACGTTGAAAGAGGGTGGTTGGTTGGTGTGGGGAGGGGGGGGGGGGCTACAACAAACATCAAGGACTATTCCAGATGGACAAACTCCACGGACTCTAAATCAAGGATTACGATATCAAAAAAAAAATTATTTAACTGCAAACCTCATCAACCCATTTGATCTATAAGAAGGTTGGGGAGCAGCAGGGTGCGTAACGTTGAAAGAGGGTGGTTGGTTGGTGTGGGGAGGGGGGGGGGGCTACAACAAACATCAAGGACTACTCCAGTTGGACAAACTCCAGGGAATCTAAATCAAGGAATACGATATCAAAAAAAAAATTATTCAGACCAGAACCGTCAAGAGACTTATGGAGGCCCCGCTGCCTTTACTCGGTTTTCTTCCATCTGCATTCAGATAGTGAAAATTTTGTCCATATCACAACTGCGGACCCCTGAAATTTCCTAGCCCATCCCCTGTAGCCGGAGGCTTTTCAGGGTCCCTGTGATTGCTCTGAATCAGACGAATTTTCCTGAAAAGGCATAGAACCACTGTGATATCATAAAGTCTTTTGTCCCATAATACGACGCCCTTTAAGAAGATTAACCTCTGTCGTGTAATATTGCTCAATAGCCCATATTTATGGCGCCCTAGGGCAGAGAAGTCCTGTGATGTAGTTTTCTGCAATATCCCATATTTACGGTACCCTAAAGTACAGAACAGCGGTTGCAGACGACATCCCAGAAAGTTCCCGGTTAATATTGTACCTGGACATGTCCCAGCAATCCCCTGCACTTACTGCACAAGAACATTTCATGCCAGAATCGGTCTTATAAGCCACCTGCACACATAAAGTTCAGAATTAGCACACATGATATATATCTATATCTATATATATCTACATATTATATATTACAGAACCGGTGTTATGTCATATCGTCCATCATACAGCGCCATTTATCCCTTCTAGTCGTATATCGTGACGGGCACTAAGCAAAGTATCCAAAGAAGAATCCGTTATTTTCTGTTTATGAGTCTCTGCGTCCTGTGTTACAGTGGCCTTACGATTACTACATCAGTTAAAGAAGTTTGAGTGGGCCCAATGGTGGTAGTAGCTCTATGATGGTGTAGCCCATTGTGCTAATAGTATTATCGTGGTAGTAGCCTTATCGTGATAGTAGGCTTATCGTGGTAGTAGCCTTACCGTGGTAGTAACTTGTAACACATCTACTCTGACATGGCGTGGGATCTTATTTCTCATGCTATGGGTTATGTCAGTAGTATGGTTACTTATGTTAATACTTCAGGATGCCCTGTGGGTTATGTCAGTAGTATGGTTACTTATGTTAATACTTCAGGATGCCCTGTGGGTTATGTCAGTAGTATGGTTACTTATGTTAATACTTCAGGATGCCGACTAAGTCTTCTTCATTCTTTCACTTATTATCCAGGCACGTAAAGAAGAATACTCAATTCTGGTTAAAACTCACAGTACTTTATTGAACACACTTTATACTGATAATATTAATGATAATCCTTGCATGAATGTAATTTCACATATATATATAGTATTATTCCATCATTCAGAAAGACACGTCCTCACACTACTATAACTCAGCTCAACTGTACTACTTCTCAACTCTAACTCTCAACTCTGACTAACTCTGACTCTCCTTGCGCTCAGCTCTCCTTATCTCAGTCAACTCATACTTTATTACCAGCAAAGCGTGGAAAACAACCGCTCTGACAAAAACATAATTTTACTCTCCAAAAACGTGGAGTTCACATTTGCATCTCAAAATACAATCCATTGATTGTCTCTCCCCGTGGACAAAACATGGTCAACACCATTCACTGTTCACTCATGCTACCTCTCTGTTTTCATGTGAAAACATTGTCCGTTGCATAACTCTATGATGGTAGTAGCCTATTGTTCTAGTAGCCTATTGTTCTAGTAGCCTATTGTTCTAGTAGCCTATGGTGGTAGTAGTAATATCGTGGTAGTAGCCTTATCGTGATAGTAACTCTATGATGGTAGTAGCCTATTGTGGTAGTAGCCTATTGTGGTAGAAGTACTATCGTGGTAGTAGCCTTATCGTGATAGTAGGCTTATCGTGGTAGTAGCCTTACCGTGGTAGTAACTCTATGATGGTAGTAGCCTATTGTGGTAGTAGCCTATTGTGGTAGTAGTACTATCGTGGTAGTAGCCTTATTGTATTAGTAGCCCTATTGTGGTAGTAGCTCTATGATGATAGTAGACAGATTGTGGTAGTAGTCCTATGATGGAAGTAGTCATATCGTGGTAGTAGCTCTATTGTGGTAGTATTCCTATTGTGGTAGTAGCCCTACGTGGTAGTAACTCTATGATGGTAGTAGTCCTATTGGGCTAGTAGTCCTATTGTGGTAGCGGCTCTATCGAGGTTGTCACTCTTTGATGGTAGTAGCCCTAGTTTTGTAGTAGCGCTTTGATGGTAGTAGTCCTATTTAGGTAATATTCATATGATGGATGTAGCCCTATCGTGGTAGTAGCCCTATCGTGGCAGTAGCCCTATCGTGGCAGTAGCCCAACGTGGCAATATCCCTATCGTGGCAGTAGTCCTAACGTGGCAGTAGCCCTGTCGTGACAGTAGCCCTATCGTGGCAGTAGTCCTAACGTGGCAGTAGCCCTGTCGTGACAGTAGCCCTATCATGGCAGTAGCCCTGTCGTGACAGTAGCCCTATCGTGGCAGTAGTCTTGTCGTGACAGTAGCCCTAACGTGGCAGTAGCCCTGTCGTGACAGTAGCCTTATCGTGGCAGTAGCCCTGTCGTGACAGTAGCCCTATCCTGGCAGTAGCCCTGTCGTTACAGTAGCCCTATCATGGAAGTAGCCCTGTTGTGACAGTAGCCCTATCGTTCGTGGCAGTAGCCCTGTCGTGACAGTAGTCCTATCGTGACAGTAGCCCTATCATGGCAGTAGCCCTGTCGTGACAGTAGCCCTAGCGTGGCATTATCATGGAAGTAGCCCTGTTGTGACAGTAGCCCTATCGTTCGTGGCAGTAGCCCTGTCGTGACAGTAGTCCTATCGTGACAGTAGCCCTATCATGGCAGTAGCCCTGTCGTGACAGTAGCCCTATCGTGGCAGTAGTCTTGTCGTGACAGTAGCCCTAACGTGGCAGTAGCCCTGTCGTGACAGTAGCCCTATCGTGGCAGTAGCCCTGTCGTGATAGTAGCCCTATCGTGGCAGTAGCCATGTCGTTACAGTAGCCCTATCATGGCAGTAGCCCTGTTGTGACAGTAGCCCTATCTTGGCAGTAGCCCTGTCGTGACAGTAGTCCTGTCGTGACAGTAGTCCTATCGTGACAGTAGCCCTATCGACACAGGAGCCACGCCGTGACAGTAGTTTAAGCAGTTTTTTTTTTAGCCATTTGCTGCTTGGGGCCAGACCCCGTCAATAATTTTAAATAGATACATTACTATTAAGGCCAAAAAAAAAGAAATCAGTTTTAAATCTGGTATTTTTTATATCTGATCTAGTTAAAAGATATAATGTTTAGAGGTAAAGCTATTTCACCATGGGGAAACTCTAAGGATTTCAGCCACTGTCCCCATAGCCTTAAGTTATACCTTTTGGTCTTCTTCTTGTCGCTAATAAATACGAAATAACGTCTAGGTCTCTATGTTATACATTGATGTAAGATTGGCGCTACAAATGATCTCTTCTCGTTATATACCCGTATTTAAGACGGGGACCCGATTGTGGGATGAAGATTAATGAACGTCTTCTTACACTGACACAGTAAGACGAACACATATTAAGATAAATTATGTAAGATGTCGGACCCTGGTGTAGTTCTCAACTCAAGTGCTGCTGAAATCGAAGGCAGTTTTTAATATGCACGGAACAGAAAGGTTTTGCTCCCAAGAGATGTATGACCCAAAGCCTTGATGTCATTGCCACAATGAAGTGGTGTCAGGAGTCAAATGATGGAGCTGGGGAAAAGTGCCGCACGCTTTACAAGTTGACTGTGTTTCATGTTAGCATCTGAGAGTAGGTTTTAAAATACAAGAGGAACCTTCATTATGTTATTCTGTTGAAATGCTTCACATGTCTTGGCTGGGATAGTGTTCACCTTATACAGCTGTGTCCAATATCAAAAACAAAATTGAAAGCCCAGCAACACTACTGTGTGGGCCGGTCAAGAATTCCTCCCGCCAAATGAAGTCAGTTCTTGGAACACATCCTGTCAACATTGACTACCTTCACGACATATACTAAAGAACATTGACAACCTACACCAGACCTGTTTACCGTTACGCTTTCGCCTCAGCAACCACGTTTTTAAGCCTATGGGGCACTACGATGAGCCTAAAACAAACCACTACTACAGTTTCGCGTGATTTTCGCATGTTTGATTTAATTTTAATTTTAAAAAAATAATTGGGTTGATTTCAGTATATAGTTATCGCGTTTTAAGTGTGAACACCATAAGCTATCGAATACTTGCGATAGGTTTTCCTGCCTGTCTAAATCTCAATAAACCAACCGTAATATTTTCTTTTAGAATCACAGAATTGCGTTGCCTATGCCAATGTGCTTGCCTCACAAACCCCCCCCCCCCCCCCCCCCCCATTTTCCCGAAAATTTACAATACTACTCATTGGAGTTTGAAACAACGCATTTTCAGAGGTGAAAGCTACGTTGACACTAACCCAGGGAGGAACAGGTCTGCTACACCATCACTATTACAATCATTGACTCCCTACCTAAACAAGGTCGCTTTTATACATGGGCAAAGCAAACAGCTGCCAAAGACATCTCTGTGTGCCACAATGACAACATCACTATGTGCCACAATAACAACATCCCTGTGTACCACAATGACAACATCCCTGTGTACCACAATGACAACATCACTGTGTACCACAATGACAACATCCATGTGTGCCACAATGACAACATCCATGTATGACACAATGACAACATCCCTGTATGACACAATGACAACATCCTTGTGTGCAACAATGACAACATCTCTGTGTGCCACAATGACAACATCCCTGTGTGCCAAAATGGCAACATCCCTGTATGCCACAAGGGCAACATCCCTGTGAGCCACAATGACAACATCTCTGTGTGCCACAATGACAACATCCCTGTGTGCCACAATGAAACATCCCTGTGTGCCACAATGACAAAATCCCTGTGTGCCCCAATGACGACATCCCTGTTTGCCACAATGACAACATCCCTGTTTGCCACAATGACAACATTGACAACATCTCTGTGTACTTCAGTAACACAAATTCTGTGTGCCACAATGACAACATCCCTGTGTGCAAAAATGGCAACATCCCTGTGTGCCACAATGACAACATCTCTGCGTACCACAATGACAACATCTCTGTGTACCACAATGACAACATCTATGTGTACCACAATGACAACATTTCTGTGTACCACAGTGACAACATCTCTGTGTATCACAATGACAACATCTCCGTGTACCACAATGACAAAATCTCTATATACCACGATGACACCATGTCTGTGTACTACAAGGACACAATCTGTGTGTACCACAATGACAACATCTCTGTGTACCACAATGGCAACATCTCTGCTTGCCCAAATGACACCATCCTTGTGTGCCACAATGACAGCATACATGTCAGTGTATCGCAGTGACAACGTAGTTTAAGTCTGGTGACAAAATGAGTCACTGAGCTGACCTAATTGACATTTCTAACGTTAGTCAGGGTTTGCTAGAAAATGACCACACGAACCTAAAGGTAAAGGCCGGTAAATGGCTCGTTGAATGAGTTCCGACATTAACTTATAACACACCCCTCCCCCCACCCCAATCCCTTTCTCTTCCAGACAAATAGCGAACCATTCTTCATGGTAGAAATTAAGTGAGTCGCACCGACTAAACATATTTTCATTAAATAGTCCTATTATATCATGCTAGTTTCATTAAATAGTCCTATTATATCATGATAGTTTCATTAAATAGTCCTATTAATCATGATATTTGCATTAAATTTAAATAGTCCAATTATATCATGATAGTTTCATTAAATAGTCCTATTATATCATGATAGTTTCATTAAATAGTCCCATTAATTATGATATTTGCATTAAATAGTCCTATTATATCATGATAGTTTCATTAAATAGTCCTATTATATCTCGATAGTTTATTTTATATCATTGATATATTTTTAAAAAAAATGTATTAACTCTCTCGAGGATTGATTTTTTTCTCTCATTGTTAAGCATGCCTGACTCAAAATACCCCACTGTTATAACTGACAGAATAACAAGTTATGTCTGACAAAATGCAACATAGTTATACGGTAACTGAACGTGTCATTGTTACGTATCGTTTTAAGATTTGGACTGTTTAATCCGTAGTAAGATTTGGACCGTTACATGAACACTACGTAACGAAGGCCTGAAACCCGTATACAAAGGCCAACTATACCAACACTAGTGATATTAAACATTTTCATTTTATTCATACTATTAAGTTGATATAAAAAATTACAAAACCACATAAACAGAAATTAAAATAACTACATGAAAAACAACGCACGGAAATTGTGAGCGACTGAGTTTCACGGTAATTATAATACTTGAGGCAATTTTGACCTCAAATTAATGTTTTTAAAATTAATTGAGTAAAGATTTTTTCAAAGCTAGAAAATTTTAGATTTAATAAAAAAAAAAGTGTTATGTCACAAATATTTGACCCCCTTTCCACTGAGGGTGACATATTTTACGATCGACCCCTTCCGTCCATTAGCTGATAATCGTTTTTAAAATAAACATTTCAAGAGTCTGACATATACCGATAACAAAAAGATTTTCTGTGAATTTTTTCCTTGTCAATTTTTCCTTTGCTACTATTACTCCCCATTCCCCCTACCCGCCAAGATAAAACATCTAGCCTTACGTACGTTGCACAATTACTAGTACCGACAGTTCTTGACCCCCGAAGCCCAGACACTGTTTCTCGCGCCTGGACATACATTCAAGCCACTGTTTAACTGTTTCCACGGGGAAGCGGAACTCAAAGGAAAGTCTTAGACCCCTTGATTTTGTTCCCGTCTGATGTCTTCTGAAGTTCCCTTAAGTTCCCTGGCATATTATTTGGAACGTTGGGGCTGTGGGCGACACGATGTATTACAGAAAGTTTATTTTTCTTGGGAGGTTGTAATTATTGTTGGTTGCTGATTTATGTTACAAGATGAAGTACATTTAGTGAACATGACGCACGCCAGAGAAGTAGTTAAAATTTGTGCCAACCGGGGCGCCCCTTGATGTCGGCTCTAATTTACGAAAATGGTTCCACCAAAAATTGTCCCCGGGTTGAACACACAATCCCCACTTTTCCGTTGCGTATTTGTCTCATTGGTGAGCCGTTGAGCGCGAGCTCATGACGCCCCCCCCCCGGCACTCCCCTCCCCCACACGGATTAGACTCCAGGTTTCACCGCCCCAGACCGTGCGGGGACATGCCGGGAACTTACCCCCTGGCCTGGGTGACGTCCGGTCGACCGAATACGCTGCGATAAAGCGTTCGCAGCCGACTCTCCCGTGGCTTGGGCGGGTTTGCTTCCACCCCGGAAGAAAGGTGTTGCGTTACCACCCCAACCGCCCAGGGAGTCTTTCGGTCGGGACAGAAAGCTGGGACGAAACGGTCGCCTAGGAGCGGCTTTCATACGGCCGCGTGACTAAAATCATCGGCATGGGTTTTAACCGCCACTTAAGCCTTATATCCACCAACGGCAACATGTCATCATGTTGCTTTGTGAGTCATGGGTTCAGCCGGCGTTTTTTGGTTCGGAAGAAAAGCAAATCCCTACTAGTCAGCGACGCCACGAAGAGGCCAAACCCCATGTGGCCGCTCCGAAGTTTCCTCAGAGGTGCTCCCCTTGCGCAGACGGTCATTGCGTATTCATACTCTTGTGTCTATAACATACTTGTTATTGTAGTTGTGGTAAAAGGTTGCTGACATTCATACTCTTGTGTCTATAACATACTTGTTATTGTAGTTGTGTTAAAAGGTTGCTGACATTCATACTCTTGTGTCTATAACATACTTATTATTGTAGTTGTGGTAAAAGGTTGCTGACATTCATACTCTTGTGTCTATAACATACTTGTTATTGTAGTTGTGGTAAAAGGTTGCTGACATTCATACTCTTGTGTCTATAATTTACGTGTTATTGTAGTGTGGACAAAAGGTTGCTGACATTCATACTCTTGTGTCTATAATTTACGTGTTATTGTAGTTGTGGTAAAAGATTGCTGACATTCATACTCTTGTGTCTATAATTTACGTGTTATTGTAGTGGTGGCGAAAGGTTGCTGACATTCATACTCTTGTGTCTATAATTTACGTGTTATTGTAGTGGTGACAAAAGGTTGCTGACATTCATACTCTTGTGTCTATAATTTACGTGTTATTGTATTAGTGACAAAAGGTTGCTGACATTCATACTCTTGTGTCTATAATTTACGTGTTATTGTATTAGTGGTAAAAGGTTGCTGACATTCATACTCTAGTGTCTATAATTTAAATGTTATTGTATTAGTGACAAAAGGTTGCTGACATTCATACTCTTGTGTCTATAATTTAAATGTTATTGTATTAGTGACAAAAGGTTGCTGACATTCATACTCTTGTGTCTATAATTTACGTGTTATTGTATTAGTGACAAAAGGTTGCTGACATTCATACTCTTGTGTCTATAATTTACGTGTTATTGTATTAGTGGTAAAAGGTTGCTGACATTCATACTCTAGTGTCTATAATTTAAATGTTATTGTATTAGTGACAAAAGGTTGCTGACATTCATACTCTTGTGTCTATAATTTACGTGTTATTGTATTAGTGACAAAAGGTTGCTGACATTCATACTCTTGTGTCTATAATTTACGTGTTATTGTATTAGTGACAAAAGGTTGCTGACATTCATACTCTTGTGTCTATAATTTACGTGTTATTGTATTAGTGGTAAAAGGTTGCTGAGATTCAAACTCTAGTGTCTATAATTTAAATGTTATTGTATTAGTGACAAAAGGTTGCTGACATTCATACTCTTGTGTCTATAATTTATGTGTTATTGTAGTTGTGGTAAAAGGTTGCTGACATTCATACTCTTGTGTCTATAATTTACGTTTTATTGTATTTGTGACAAAAGGTTGCTGACATTCATACTCTAGTGTCTATAATTTACGTGTTTTTGTAGTGGTGACAAAAGGTTGCTGACATTCATACTCTTGTGTCTATAATTTACGTGTTATTGTATTAGTGACAAAAGGTTGCTGACATTCATACTCTTGTGTCTATAATTTACGTGTTATTGTATTAGTGGTAAAAGGTTGCTGACATTCATACTCTAGTGTCTATAATTTAAATGTTATTGTATTAGTGACAAAAGGTTGCTGACATTCATACTCTTGTGTCTATAATTTAAATGTTATTGTATTAGTGACAAAAGGTTGCTGACATTCATACTCTTGTGTCTATAATTTACGTGTTATTGTATTAGTGACAAAAGGTTGCTGACATTCATACTCTTGTGTCTATAATTTACGTGTTATTGTATTAGTGGTAAAAGGTTGCTGACATTCATACTCTAGTGTCTATAATTTAAATGTTATTGTATTAGTGACAAAAGGTTGCTGACATTCATACTCTTGTGTCTATAATTTACGTGTTATTGTATTAGTGACAAAAGGTTGCTGACATTCATACTCTTGTGTCTATAATTTACGTGTTATTGTAGTGGTGACAAAAGGTTGCTGACATTCATACTCTTGTGTCTATAATTTACGTGTTTTTGTAGTTGTGGTAAAAGGTTGCTGACATTCATACTCTTGTGTCTATAATTTACGTGTTCTTGTAATTGTGGTAAAAGGTTGCTGACAATCATACTCTTGTGTCTATAATTTACGTGTTATTGTACCGGTGACAAAAGGTTGCTGACATTCATACTCTTGTGTCTATAATTTACGTGTTATTGTAGTGGTGACAAAAGGTTGCTGACATTCATACTCTTGTGTCTATAATTTACTTGTTATTGTAGTGGTGACAAAAGGTTGCTGACATTCATACTCTTGTGTCTATAATTTACGTGTTATTGTAGTGGTGACAAAAGGTTGCTGACATTCATACTCTTGTGTCTATAATTTACATTTTATTGTAGTGATGACAAAAGGTTGCTGACATTCATACTCTTGTGTCTATAATTTACGTGCTATTGTAGTTGTGGTAAAAGGTTGCTGACATTCATACTCTTGTGTCTATAATTTACGTGTTATTGTAGTTGTGGTAAAAGGTTGCTGACATTCATACTCTTGTGTCTATAATTTACGTGTTATTGTAGTGGTGACAAAAGTTTGCTGATATTCATACTCTTGTGTCTATAATTTACGTGTTCTTGTAGTTGTGGTAAAAGGTTGCTTATATTCATACTCTTGTGTCTATAATTTACGTGTTATTTAGTTGTGGTAAAAGGTTGCTGATATTCATACTCTTGTGTCTATATTTTAAGTGTTATTGTATTAGTGACAAAAGGTTGCAGACATTCATACTATTGTGTCTATAATTTACGTGTTATTGTATTAGTGACAAAAGGTTGCAGATATTCATACTATAGTGTCTATAATTTACGTGTTATTGTATTAGTGACAAAAGGTTGCAGATATTCATACTATTGTGTCTATAATTTACGTGTTCTTGTAATTGTGGTAAAAGGTTGCTGACAATCATACTCTTGTGTCTATAATTTACGTGTTATTGTACCGGTGACAAAAGGTTGCTGACATTCATACTCTTGTGTCTATAATTTACGTGTTATTGTAGTGGTGACAAAAGGTTGCTGACATTCATACTCTTCTGTCTATAATTTACGTGTTATTGTAATGGTGACAAAAGGTTGCTGATAATCATACTCTTGTGTCTATAATTTACGTGTTCTTGTAGTTGTGGTAAAAGGTTGCTTATATTCATACTCTTGTGTCAAAAATTTACGTGTTATTTAGTTGTGGTAAAAGGTTGCTGATATTCATACTCTTGTGTCTATAATTTAAGTGTTATTGTATTAGTGACAAAAGGTTGCATACATTCATACTCTTGTGTCTATAATTTACGTGTTATTGTATTAGTGACAAAAGGTTGCTGACATTCATACTCTTGTGTCTATAATTTACGTGTTATTGTAGTGGTGACAAAAGGTTTCAGATATTCATACTATTGTGTCTATAATTTACGTGTTATTGTATTAGTTACAAAAGGTTGCTGACATTCATACTCTTGTGTCTATAATTTACGTGTTATTGTAGTTGTGGTAAAAGGTTGCTGACATTCATACTCTTGTGTCTATAATTTACGTGCTATTGTAGTTGTGGTAAAAGGTTGCTGACATTCATACTCTTGTGTCTATAATTTACGTGCTATTGTAGTTGTGGTAAAAGGTTGCTGACATTCATACTCTTGTGTCTATAATTTACGTGTTATTGTAGTGGTGGCAAAAGGTTGCTGACATTCATACTCTTGTGTCTATAATTTACGTGTTATTTTAGTGGTGGCAAAAGGTTGCTGACATTCATACTCTTGTGTCTATAATTTACGTGTTATTGTATTAGTGGTAAAAGGTTGCTGACATTCAAACTCTTGTGTCTATAATTTAAATGTTATTGTATTAGTGACAAAAGGTTGCTGACATTCATACTCTTGTGTCTATAATTTACGTGTTATTGTATTAGTGACAAAAGGTTGCTGACATTCATACTCTTGTGTCTATAATTTACGTGTTATTGTATTAGTGACAAAAGGTTGCTGACATTCATACTCTTGTGTCTATAATTTACGTGTTATTGTATTAGTGGTAAAAGGTTGCTGAGATTCAAACTCTAGTGTCTATAATTTAAATGTTATTGTATTAGTGACAAAAGGTTGCTGACATTCATACTCTTGTGTCTATAATTTATGTGTTATTGTAGTTGTGGTAAAAGGTTGCTGACATTCATACTCTTGTGTCTATAATTTACGTTTTATTGTATTTGTGACAAAAGGTTGCTGACATTCATACTCTAGTGTCTATAATTTACGTGTTTTTGTAGTGGTGACAAAAGGTTGCTGACATTCATACTCTTGTGTCTATAATTTACGTGTTATTTTATTAGTGACAAAAGGTTGCTGACATTCATTCTCTTGTGTCTATAAATTACGTGTTATTTTATTAGTGACAAAAGGTTTCTGACATTCATACTCTTGTGTCTATAACATACTTGTTATTGTAGTGGTGACAAAAGGTGGCTGACATTCATACTCTTGTGTCTATAATTTACGTGTTATTGTAGTGGTGACAAAAGGTTGCTGACATTCATACTCTTGTGTCTATAATTTACGTGTTATTGTATTAGTGACAAAAGGTTGCATACATTCATACTATTGTGTCTATAATTTACGTGTTATTGTATTAGTGACAAAAGGTTGCTGACATTCATACTCTTGTGTCTATAATTTACGTGTTATTGTAGTGGTGACAAAAGGTTGCTGACATTCATACTCTAATGTCTATAATTTACGTGTTATTGTAGTGGTGACAAAAGTTTGCTGACATTCATACTCTTGTGTCTATAATTTACGTGTTATTGTAGTGGTGACAAAAGGTTGCTGACATTCATACTCTTGTGTCTGTAATTTACGTGTTATTTTATTAGTGACAAAAGGTTGCTGACATTCATTCTCTTGTGTCTATAATTTACGTGTTATTGTATTAGTGACAAAAGGTTGCTGACATTCATACTCTTGTGTCTATAATTTACGTGTTCTTGTAGTTGTGGTAAAAGGTTGCTGACATTCATACTCTTGTATCTATAATTTACGTGTTCTTGTAATTATGGTAAAAGGTTGCTGACATTCATACTCTTGTGTCTATAACATACTTGTTATTGTAGTGGTGACAAAAGGTTGCTGACATTCATACTCTTGTGTCTATAATGTATGTGTTATTGTAGTTGTGGTAAAAGGTGGCTGACATTCATACTCTTGTGTCTATAATTTACGTGTTATTGTATTTGTGACAAAAGGTTGCTGACATTCATACTCTAGTGTCTATAATTTACGTGTTATTGTAGTGGTGACAAAAGGTTGCTGACATTCATACTCTTGTGTCTATAATTTACGTGTTATTTTATTAGTGACAAAAGTTTGCTGACATTCATACTCTTGTGTCTATAAATTACGTGTTATTTTATTAGTGACAAAAGGTTGCTGACATTCATACTCTTGTGTCTATAATTTACGTGTTCTTGTAGTTGTGGTAAAAGGTTGTTGACATTCATCATCTTGTGTCTATAATTTACGTGTTATTGTAGTGGTGACAAAAGGTTGCTGACATTCATACTCTTGTGTCTATAATTTACGTGTTCTTGTAGTTGTGATAAAAGGTTGCTGACATTCATACTCTTGTGTCTATAACATACTTGTTATTGTAGTGGTGACAAAAGGTGGCTGACATTCATACTCTTGTGTCTATAATTTACGTGTTATTGTAGTGGTGACAAAAGGTTGCTGACATTCATACTCTTGTGTCTATAATTTCCGTGTTATTGTAGTGGTGACAAAAGGTTGCTGACATTCATACTCTTGTGTCTATAATTTTCGTGTTCTTGTAGTTGTGGTAAAAGGTTGCTGACATTCATACTCTTGTGTCTATAATTTACGTGTTCTTGTATTTGTGGTAAAAGGTTGCTGACATTCATACTCTTGTGTCTATAATTTACGTGTTCTTGTAGTTGTGGTAAAAGGTTGCTGACATTCATACTCTTGTGTCTATAATTTACGTGTTCTTGTATTTGTGGTAAAAGGTTGCTGACATTCATACTCTTGTGTCTATAATTTACGTGTTCTACGTGTTCTTGTATTTGTGGTAAAAGGTTGCTGACATTCATACTCTTGTGTCTATAATTTACGTGTTCTTGTAGTTGTGGTAAAAGGTTGCTGACATTCATACTCTTGTGTCTATAATTTACGTGTTCTTGTAGTTGTGACAAAAGGTTGCTGACATTCATACTCTTGTGTCTATAATTTACGTGTTCTTGTAGTTGTGGTAAAAGGTTGCTGACATTCATACTCTAGTGTCTATAATTTCCGTGTTATTTTAGTGGTGACAAAAGGTTGCTGACATTCATACTCTAGTGTCTATAATTTCCGTGTTATTTTAGTGGTGACAAAAGGTTGCTGACATTCATTCTCTTGTGTCTATAATTTACGTGTTATTGTAGTGGTGGCAAAAGGTTGATCCTTGAATATTTAGGCTGTAATTATAATCAGACATTTATTTGATTTAACAATTAGCCCTACATTAAATTAAATATCTATCTATAATATGTGACCCTTCTGACCAAGCACCCACCACTTGCATTTCTCTTGTTAAGCATTACTGGCGTGTCACACTGTCATCTTGTTCATTCACGCCACTGGTTTTAACAACATCCGCAACAGTCAGAGCCTGACAACAGCAAGCTGCTAATGATTCACTTTGACTCTCACACACCAGATCCCTGAGCTGCAGCCGACACACCTAATTAACCAACGACTTATTAATTACACACAACAAATTGCCGCCCAACAATGTCAACCACAAGATGGCTGCCAGTGGTCTGTGTGCTTCTGATTACCCTCTGCCCTTTCGGTAAGTTTATATTTGAGTGTTTTGTTTAAAAAAATGTTTAAATTATAAAAATGTTTTTCTTCTGATATCTTCCAGCAAAACTGGCTTTTGTTTGCCATGATCTAACAAGTTGACAGGAGTGGGTTTAAAGCTTGCAAAGCGAAGAAATGGGGAAAAGTTTTTTAACATGTTGCATTATAGGTAATTTAATTGGGAAAGCCAACAACAATTAATTTGCCAAAGAAATGGAGGAAATGTTTTTATAGAAAGACTCGTTTTGACTTGTTTACTTCTCAGTTATTCTATTTCTATTTTATGATTATTGCGAATGATGTGCCTTATTTTACGTACAATATGTTGATTAACATATTCCATTTAACATTTGATGCAACATTTAATGTATTTTTATGTTACGTTTTTTACGTATTTTATACGTGTAACAGATTTTATGTCACTTGTATGTAAAATATTTTTTGTCAGGTAAAACTTAGTATTAATTTATTTTTTTTTTTACAATAATTCATTGTTACAACTAGAAAACTTTCTCTACTTCCCGATGAAGCTGTTTTTTGACAAGGTTTTCAAAGTATTTTGTTGTCCAACGAGCAAGTCTTCAGGGGCTTGTGCTGCATGTGTCAAGTGCTTAGACTCATTAGGCATTGCAGTGTCGGTGCGCCTGTCAGTTTAGAATAAAGTGAAGCTCAGCAGGGGCGTCTACAGGGGAGGGGGAAGGAAGCAACAGCTTCCAATTAGAGTTTGGGTAAAATAAAATTCCTCCCTGCCAATAAAATAAAAATTATAAAAGAAAATTATAATTTAAAAAAAAAAGTCCCTTTAAATTCGTTCAGGTAACAAAATTAATATGGGAAAAATTTGCGATTAATTAATAATTTTTATTATAATTTTTTTTAATTGGGGGGGGCATCACTTAATCAATCAACAAAACACAAAAACGAACAAAAAAGACATAAGCCTTTAAAATTTTTTTTTTTTTTTAAAATTATCACAGGATTCGATAAGTTACTCTTCTGAATAATGTGAAATTGTTTTTATCAATACATGTATGGGTTTTTTTTCTGAATGGTCAACATCATTCTAACATTTTGGTCACCTTAAATTTGTGTATTACCGGTAGTAATATTCTTAGTTAACCTCCGAGTTAAACACAATGACATGAATAGCACGGCCTACACACATCATTTACCAAGTTCAAGGTCTAAGGGAGATTTTTTTATTTTTTAAAAAAATTTTTTTTTGGGGGGTTTGTATCAACAAACACCGCATTAGTTGCTGGTATAACATTTAATCCGCTATCTTAAAAAATAAGATATGATGAGATAGGATAAGCGTCTTTATTGATCCGAATAAATGGACATATTTTTTGATGACATTGAATATTCATTTTCAGCGTATAAATAATTGCCTATTTTAACTAAGACACCATTTAAAAATTATAATAATTTAAACTCAGGAGATTGCCTACAGTAATTTATAGTCTCTGACGTAGGTGTGATAAGTGCCGCCAGGGGCGAACTATCTGCAGTGGGCCGAAAATGTCACCCTTAATAGAAAGAAAAAAGTGCCACCCCTTCACACCCACTTCACACCCCTTTAAACGCCAACGTATATAGTTTAATGGGACATAACGTTTGTATCAATTCAAATCTGAAGGAAAAAAATGTTTTGATTTTTTGTAGTTTTAAGGGATGTAACTGTAATATCACCAGAATTAAGTAGCTTAGCTTTTTTTTGTTAACTCCCTCTAAGTAAGACACTTGATATTATATAATGTTAAAGCCTTACATAACTGTTTGAATTCATGACTGAAATATCTTATGTGTAATGTGTTTGTGTGTACAATTTTTCTAATACCTGGTTGATACACCATCAGCTATCATGAGTTAGCTGTATGTGTTCAATCTGTCTGGACCAGGCCATGTCTAATCCGTCTGACCCAGGCCATGTCTAATCTGTCTGACCCAGGCCATGTCTAATCTGTTAAGCCCAGACCATGTCTAATCTGTATGGCCCTCCTTAATCCACTCCCTTTCTTTAATGGTACTTTCTCCCAGACTCATCCACCATAATATATGATAAAGCTGTAAAGTTGTATATGTCATTGTATCTGTCGTTGAATGTTCTGTTCAGAGTTGTAGATTTGCCACATCTTTTTTTCCTTCATAGCAACAAGTTTTGAGGAGGGAGCCCCTTTCAGCACATGTCTGACCAGATACCCCAAACATGAAACATCACAGCAGACTTCAACCGCACCTTATGACATAACTTTTTCTCCATCATCCTACAATCCAAATGATCTAATCAAAGGTATTTTGATATTTTCCTATTCACAGTTCTAGTCTGTATGGCAGCGTAGACTAATAATCTGATAGGCTTAAAAATATTATTTAGTTTTTAATTTACCATTTCAATAGTCATCAAAATAATTTTAAAGCAAATGGCAATGAAATGACTCAAAATAAAAAAAATATCAAATATCATAATATCAAAATATTCTAAACATCAAAATATCAAATACCAAATTATTCTAAATTATTTCAGAATGTCACAAAATTATAAATATCAAATATTAAAATATCACAATGTCACAATATTCCAAATGTTAAATATCAATATATCAGAAGATCAGAATATTCTTAATGAATCAACTGGGATGAACAAAAAGAGCATCTTCTTATAACTGGAAGTCACCGTTTATTTTTTTATCAAAGGCTCTTGATGAAACGATGCACTTACTCCTGATATCTTGGAGCCGCTTGACCATCGGTCAGTGTCTCTGCTTACATAGAGCTGTTGTTGTATTTGTTCATCTCAATTCACAGTCAATGTCACCAGTAGGAATAACATGAGGATCAAAGGTATCCAGATGGCTGCCTTTCGTGCCGGGAGAAATAGTGAAGAAGTTTTAGGACAATTCACAGATTTTCCAATAAACAAAATTAAGGCCTTCACTTGTTTTGGAAGTTACAAGGTAACATTATACAAAATTATTTCACAAGAAAAGAACATATTTTACCTATTTAATAAATTTATCTTAAGATAAATAGTTATAATTCAAATACAAACTATATTTTGTTAAATAAAAATATAATTTTGAGATTCAGTTATTAAATGAATAATTTCCCAAATCAAGAAATTTTCATTTATTATAGAAGCATTGCTTAAATCTCCCTTTTTAAAAAAAAATATATGTTTTATATTATGTCATCAAACAGAACAACATGATCACACATAACAATGATGGAAAGATATTTCATCTGGAGTTGACATGGAAGGCACCAGCTGACAATGTGGGGGATATCGTCTTCAAGTAGGTCAAATCAGATACTTAGGACATGTTAAAACTTGGTTGTGTTAAAAATATTGAAATTGGGATTTGTGATAAATTCATTTGCATCTCATTTTTTCTCACCTAATATGGTGACATATTAATTATGCCAAGGATTTCTTTAATAATTTCTAGGAAAAAAATTATGATCATTGTTTTCTTATTAATTTCTAGAACAACGATTGTCGAAGATTACGAAGTATTTTGGGTGGATATCCCCAGCAAGCTATTTGCTGCAAACTCAACTGCTCCTGTCATAGCATCACAATATCCGGTAAGTTATGAGATTCTGGTAGTGAAATATTTAGGTCATGAGATTCTAGTAGTTAAATACTTATGTCATTAGATTCTGATGGTGGAATATTTAGGTCATGACATTCTGGTAATCATTAGTCATTCATATATTTAATGAGAACGCAACTCCAATTTTGATCTGACTATTTGATTAAAAGAAAATCACCCATATTTCCAGATTGTCTCCCCATCTCCCCTGGTGCACAACATTGACTTCTCTAACTGCGGCAACTCAAAGGGATGTTTCCTGTATCCGTCAAGCTGTTCTGGAGATGACTGTGTTGTGGCAGTGACCTTTGATTATAACACAACAACTGACAGCTACTCGGTTGAACTCACTTCAAACTCTGACCAGAATTATGTGGCATTGGGCTTCTCAGATGACAGATTAATGGTAGGGCAAAATTAGGTTCTGGATGTTCGACCAATGGTTTGTCACTTGGGTATTTGTCGACAGAGCATTGGCTGGATATTTTGGTTATGTGAGATTGTAGAATTATGTTAATACATTTTATTCCACATCCTTAAACTATTTTTTTTTGGAAATACTATAACACAAAACCATTTACATGTTTGTTAATTATGTGCTGAAATAAAAATATACGTACTTGGAGTTGAGCTGGTTTCAATTAAATATGTTGAAAAAATGTTGGAGGGAACTCTAAAATACCCAATGGCACATACACAGAAATCATTTAATGTAATACATATCCCCCCCCCTATTATCTATGAGTTTTCAGACTCTGACACAGACTAATTTGTCTTGTATTAAGAATTTAATTTTTCTACTAGGGTCAAGAAGAGACAATTTCATGTATCAGTGCCTCAGCAGGTTTAAACATTCAACATGGATACAACCCTGCTTATTTTAATGATCGAAAACTGACGGTACGGACCTTTCAATAAATATTATTTACAATTTAATATTAGCATTTTATTCAATTATTTTAATGTAGCATCAAAATATTTCCTGTCGTGAAAATGTTTTTACTCTTTCACAAAATATACATTCCCAATAAATTTGTTTTCACTCTGATTGTAAAATATTTTATTTTTTAAAAACTGTTCATGGGACATTTAATTTTCAGATGTTTGTTACTGGTGTAGAAATTAAAGATGCTGATGGACGTCTCCAATGTCGCTTTATTCTGCCAAAGACTAGCAAAGTGTATTTGATAAAGCAACAGGCAGCAGCCTTTGAATATTCTAACAAGACATTTGACCATTCAAACAACTGGTATCTACAAGTTGCCTGGGGTAGTGTAATGCAGGGTAAGGGCCTTTGACTATTCAAAGAAGGCATTTGAATGTTTAAATAATTGGTACCTACAAATTGTCTGGGGTTGTTTAATGCACAATAAGATAAGCTAACTTCTCTCTATAACTGCATCAAACTCTTTAAAATAAAATAAAATAAAAGATAATCAATTTGTAATCATTGGTTTGGTTAAATTTCCTAACTGTACCTCAGACTCTCCCATTCACCCCCTGTCCTAACTCTGTACCTCAGACTGTCCCATCCATCCCATGTCCTAACTCTGTACCTCAGACTGTCCTATCCATCCCATGTCCTAACTCTGTACCTCAGACTGTCCTATCCATCCCATGTCCTAACTCTGTACCTCAGACTGTCCCATCCATCCCATGTCCTAACTCTGTACCTCAGACTGTCCTATCTATCCCATGTCCTAACTCTGTACCTCAGACTGTCCCATCCATCCCATGTCCTAACTCTGTACCTCAGACTGTCCTATCCATCCCATGTCCTAACTCTGTACCTCAGACTGTCCCATCCATCCCATGTCCTAACTCTGTACCTCAGACTGTCCTATCCATCCCATGTCCTAACTCTGTACCTCAGACTGTCCCATCCATCCCATGTCCTAACTCTGTACCTCAGACTGTCCCATCCATCCCATGTCCTAACTCTGTACCTCAGACTGTCCCATCCATCCCATGTCCTAACTCTGTACCTCAGACTGTCCTATCCATCCCATGTCCTAACTCTGTACCTCAGACTGTCCCATCCATCCCAATCCATCCCATGTCCTAACTCTGTACCTCAGACTGTCCCATCCATCCCATGTCCTAACTCTGTACCTCAGACTGTCCTATCCATCCCATGTCCTAACTCTGTACCTCAGACTGTCCCATCCATCCCATGTCCTAACTCTGTACCTCAGACTGTCCTATCCAACCCATGTCTTAACTCTGTACCTCAGACTGTCCCATCCATATCTTGCAACTTCTGTACATGAATATTTCATTGCATAATTGGCCAGATAAGCCATCTGACAGACTCAGCCCCATTAAAAATCTAATGTTTAAAAGGGTCATGATCAATTTTCAAGGGACGAACTAACATAAATTTTATAAATTTTAAAGGAGGTTAAGTTCTGAAATTTGGTTTTATAGATAATGTTAAAAACTTACTTTTTAAAACAATTGTAGCTTTATTCTTCTTTGACTAGATACAGTTTAAAAAAAAAAAAAAATATGGTTTCAAATGTTATTTTGTACTAATTTAAAGCTTACATTTCATTTAAATATATTTTTCTACTTTTATTTTTTTATTTTTAAATAATTTATACATTCAATTTGTGAGCTGCTTCAACAATCAAGTTATGGGGAGGTATCGTCAGTTGTGGGGTGGCAAGGCCACCTATGGGGAAGCAATGTCAATCATGGGGAGGTAATGCAACTTATAGTGAGACAATGTCCCTTATGGTTCTGTGGTTCTGGTTCTGGTTGTGTTCGTTGCTGCATCGATGAAATGCCACCTATAGCGTAGCAATGTCAATCATGGGGAGGCAATGTCTGTTATGTTCAATGAACTGTAACTAAAACCTGACTTCAGACTTGTAACAATCTTCCAGGGTCAGATGTGATGGCCAAACACAAGGTGATGCCACCTGTCTCCTTTGACAAGATTAATTTGAAAGATAAAAGCATTTTCCGAGGCTCATCCTACGGATATTTGGTTAAAGCCCATGGTGAGTGTCTTGCATTGAAAGATTTAGTCAATTATAATGTTGATTTCTACACCAGTCATTCCCAGGTCATGTCTTCTTAATTCTTGCCATAAAGATTTTATGTGACTATTTATGATGACTATTGACTTACATATTAAATATGACTACGGTTCATGGTGACTCTTGATTTACAGATTTCATATGACTATGGTTCATGATGACTCTTGATTTACAGATTTCATATGACTATGGTTCATGATGACTCTTGACTTAGATATTTCATATGACTGCCGTTTTTTATGACTCTCGCCTTATGGCATCTGCTCAAGCACATTCTGTAATGCATATGTTTGTGTCCGATCTTACTAGCACAGATCTCCACACTGTGGACTTTGACATATTACAACCAGTTTCTTCATTAATGTGATTGAAATTGAACAAGCTTTTGATAGTGCTTTAAGAGAAACTTTCGGTAAACTCTTGAATCACTTTCAGTCACTATCACTATATGTCACTATCTGTCATCACTATCTGTCACTATCACTATCTGGCACCATTAGTTTCACTATTGTGCTGTCACTTTCATGATCTGTCACTATCTGTCATTATTCTGTCTCTATCAGTTTCACTATCTGTCACTATCAGTTTCACTATCTGTCACTATCAGTTGCACTATCTGTCACTATCACTAAGTATTTCACAAAATAAAACTAATTGATTTAAAAACAAGTAAATACACAATGTGAGCTGCATTTTATATGTGAGGAAAACTAACAGAGTCTACTATCACCAGTATAATCACTTTTTATAAGCAGTTAGAATACCTAGATTTTGTAGATGACATCTCTATTATCCCAAAGGCATAAAAAATATATGAGACATAAATAAATACAAGACATAAAAGACATCAACTAATACAAGACATAATTGATTTAAAAACAAGTAAATACACAATATGAGTTGCATTTTATATGTGAGGAAAACTAACAAGACATCAACAAATACTAGATATAAACAAATACAAGACAAAAACAAATACTAGACATAAACAAATACTAGACATAAACAAATACTAGACATAAACAAATACTAAGACATAAACAAATACTAGACATGAACAGATACACAACAAAAGTGCCAAATTTGATTCAATTTGAAGACAGATTGGACTTGCAATAAATGAAAACATATTAAATTATGAGAATAATTGCAAATAGCCCAGGAGTTGTAAGCAGAAAAGCAAAGCACCAAGAGAAATGAGCGAAACAATGTATGAGGAAACCTGAAGAAAGAAGCAAGAAAACGAAAAACATGTTGGCAAGAAGCTTTCTGCAGCAAAAAAACCCCAGTAAAAACAATATAAAATTAAAAATAAACACTTAGATGCAATGTAGTATCTGAGAGGACAACAAGAGGACAGCAAGAACAATCCACATGTTGGCTGGTTTTTTTTTTTTTTGCATAATTTTTTTCAGGTTTTCTCATACTTTGATTAGCTCATTTCCTTTTACCTTATCTGATTGCACTCTCTCTCCCTAGTTATCATAGAAAACTTTAACTATCTTTGAAGAAAGTTAGTAAAGATGGAGGACCAGAGGCATATTATGATAGTAAGGCAAGAATACAGATGTGAAGAGGACTGAGGAGCTTTTGCCTTAATAAAAAATATTTGAGTTTAATCTGCTGTATGGCTTTAAAAAAATCTGAGATCAACCAAGAGTTGGAAAGAGTTAGAGAGAAATAGCTAGACACAGGAAGGTTTGGGAGAAATAGCTAGACACAGGAAGGCTTGGGAAGATATTGTTCGTGGCCAAGCTCCATTGGGAAGGCAAAGATGAAGATGACTTCAAGAGCAGATTAACCTACTAGTTGAGGCCTACATAGAGTGCACATCACTAGTTGAGGCATACAAATGGTGCACATCACTAGTTGAGGCCTAAATAGAGTGCACATCACTAGTTGAGGCATACAAATGGTGCACATCACTAGTTGAGGCACACAAATGGTGCACATCAGTAGTTGCGGCATACAAATGGTGCACATCACTAGTTGAGGCCTAAATAGAGTGCAAATCACTAGTTGAGGCCTACATAGAGTGCATATTGCCAGTTGAGGCCTACACAGAGTGCAAATCAGTCTAACAACATAGTTATAAGGACAGTGAACATTGAACCTAGTAAACTGATATGATTATAAAACACTGGTCTTTTAAAACAGGACTGATGAATTATTTAAACCTTATATTTGGAAAAGAAGTCAGAAGAGCACGTTTAAATGTATAATGCTCTCTATATGAATGTGCTCAATATGGATACAAGATGCATGTGTCATCACATTAAAATTTACCTGCACAGGTGTCTGAATGATGATTTCTACCTTCACAGGTGCCTTAATGATGATTGCTTGGATGTTTATAACTGGTGTTATCACAGTCATCTCTAGACATTACAGGGAATGGCTGCCCAGAACCAGATGGTTTGGTACCAAAGTTTGGTTTCAGGTCAGTAGTGTTGAGTGTGATAAGTCTAAACATATCTGTTTGTTTCCATTAGCCATAGAGGTTTAAACAAGTCTGTTTGTTTCCATTAGTCATAGAGGTTTAAACATGTCTGATTGTTTCCATTAGCCTTAGAAGTCTAAATATGTCTGGGTTGTTTAGTAGAAGACTAAACATGTTTAGCTTGTTGGTTGCTGCACTCCTCAAAGCATTTCCTGTAGTAGAAACTAGAGAAAATGTTTTATTCTCACATATTTAACATTGTTCTTCAAATATAATTATTATATTTTATATAAAAATCTATTTCTTACACCTTTGTTCTGAGTTATTAACCTAATGATCTGAAGATTACAGTTTTAAAATGCCAAAATATTCAACTTGGAGTTAATTTTTTTTTTAAATAATTGTTAATTGAATATTTATTTCTAGGTTCACCGAGCCCTGGCCATCCTGGTGGTTGTCTTGACAGCTCTGGGACTGGTTGTTGTATTTGCTGAGTATGGAGCTGAAATAAGGGAGGTAAATATCTCATCAAAATACATTACTTTCAAATAAAAATTAGGGTACTCCAACATCACATATAATAATTGGTATATTAATTATATGTTTTTCATACATTTTATAAATATTTACTGTTATGGAACTATTCATTCTCAATGACATTAACCTACACCCTATTCATCACCCACCCCAAGACCCATGCTATGACCCACCCCAAGACCCATGCTATGACCCACCCCATGACCCACGTCATCACCCACCCATGACCCATGCTATGACCCGCACTACTTTCAAGCCATAAATTTCTGGTTTAAAATGCCATATTTTGTTGCAGAGTTCCATCCCCCATTCTGTGATTGGTCTCATTGTGACTGGACTTGTTGGCATACAACTTATAGCTGGCATGCTGCGGCCAGGTCCTGAGGATAAGTTGAGAGTCTACTTTAATTGGGGGCACAGAGTAATGGGACAACTGACCCATTTGTTAGCTGGTAAGCACAACCCTCATTTTTAATTTTTGTTTAAAAAATTATTTTTACAACCATCACATTCTTTTTCTAAGCTAATACTGATTTCCTTTTCATTTTACTAATAAAATAAAATGATACATTTTTTTCTTCAATTTTTATTTACTGACAAAAAACCTTTGTTGTTTTGTGTTATAGCTGTTACCATGTTCTTGGCCTTCGGAATGGAAACCACTTTAGAAGAAATGAAGACTTTTGGATTTATTGTACTGAGTATTTGGCTAGTTGGCCAGGTGGTATGGCACATCATCTTTGAATTCCTTAGCTTTAGAGGTCAGTATACCAGTAGGTAGTCTACATTAAATTATCAGAAAAATGAAGGTTCTATTGTTATTGGGTCAGTGGTCTAAACTATGTCAATCACAAGCCAGTGGGCAGGAATTCAATCCCCAACAAGATAAGCAAACATATCACCAGCTCCCTGAGTGGATGGCACTTTTAAACCCTGGATGGAAACTTATCTAAGAGAAGGCAAACTCTGGAATCAAACCACGAGATGGTGTCTAGTCTTGTAGCTGCTATGACAGTGACATAATGAAAATTCCAATAACTTCTGTGATGTAGAATAAATAAAGAACATAGTAAAAGATGCAAGACACCCTGCTGGTCATCTACTGCATCCTCATCCTCATGTCCCGTAGTCCTTGGACCGTTGGGGCGCCACAGATGACATGTGAACCATTCTCCTCCATTCCTCTCTGTCTTCAGCACTCTGCACTGCATCGCCCAGTGTTAGTCCTGTCCACTCTTTGATGTTATCCTCCCACCTTTTTCTTTGTCTTTCTCTTCTTCTCCCTCCTCTTGTGGTGCCCTGCAATATTTCTTTGTCAAGCCCTTGTTTCCTTATTACATGGCCGTAACATTGTAATTTGCGTTTTTTCACAGTCACCAGTAGGTCATCGTACTCCCCAATTGCCTGACGAACCCTTTCTTTCACTGTACCATTGGAGATATGGTCACTATAGCAGATGCCAAAAATGCTTCTGAAGCATCTCATCTCCATCGCCTTTATTTTCATTTCAAGATCGTCTGTTAATGTCCAGGATTCGCAGGCATACAGGAAAATGGAGAGGACTAATGAACGCATCAGCCTGATTTTGGTGCTGGGAGCTATATTTTTGTCAATCCATATTTTCTTGAGCTTTTTTAGTGCTGTTGTAGTCTGCGCAATCCTGGATATCAGTTCGGGCTTGGAGCCTTCTTCTGAGACTATTGCTCCTAGGTATTTGAAGCGGCCGACAGTCTCTAATCTTTTCTTCCCCACCTTAATTTCAGCTACTGCATCCTGATCTATTTCCTGTCACCTTGACCTACTGGTCATCTACTGCATACTGGTCTGTTTCCTGTAACCTTGACTTGCTGATCATCTACTGCATCTTGATCTATTTCCTGTCACCTTGACCTGCTGGTCATCTTCTGCATCCTGATCTATTTCTTGTCACCTTGACCTGCTGGTCATCTACTGCATCCTGATCTATTTCCTGTCACCTTGATCTGCTGGTCATCTACTTCATCCTGATCTATTTCATGTCACCTTAACCTGCTGGTCATCTACTTCATCCTGGTCTATTACCTGTCACCTTGACCTGCTGGTCATCTACTGCATCCTGATCTATTTCCTGTCACCTTGATCTGCTGGTCATCTACTGCATCCTGATCTATTTTCTGTCACCTGACCTACTGGTCATCTACTGCATCCTGATCTATTTCCTGTCACCTTAACCTGCTGGTCATTTACTGCATCCTGATCAATTTCCTGTCACCTTGATCTGCTGGTCATCTACTGCATCCTGATCTATTTCCTATCACCTTAACCCTCTGGTCATCTACTGCATCCTGATCTATTTCCTGTCACCTTAACCTGCTGGTCATCTACTGCATCCTGATCTATTCCCTGTCACCTTGACCTGCTGGTCATCTACTGCATCCTGATCTATTTCCTGTCACCTTGATCTGCTGGTCATCTACTGCATCCTGGTCTATTTCCTGTCACCTTGATCTGCTGGTCATCTACTTCATCCTGGTCTATTTCCTGTCACCTTGACCTGCTGGTCATCTACTTCATCCTGGTCTATTTCCTGTCATCTTGATCTGCTGGTCATCTACTTCATCCTGGTCTATTTCCTGTCACCTTGACCTGCTGGTCATCTACTGCATCCTGATCTATTTCCTGTCACCTTGACCTGCTGGTCATCTACTGCATCCTGATCTATTTCCTGTCACCTTGACCTACTGGTCATCTACTGCATACTGGTCTGTTTCCTGTAACCTTGACTTGCTGATCATCTACTGCATCCTGGTGTATTTCCTGTCACCTTGATCTCCTGGTCATCTACTTCATCCTGGTCTATTTCCTGTCACCTTGACCTGCTGGTCATCTACTGCATCCTGGTCTATTTCCTGTCATCTTGATCTGCTGGTCATCTACTTCATCCTGGTCTATTTGCTATCAGCTTGACCTGCTGGTCATCTACTGCATGCTGATCTATTTCCTGTCACCTTGACCTGCTGGTCATCTACTTCATCCTGGTCTATTTCCTGTCACCTTGACCTGCTGGTCATCTACTTCATCCTGGTCTATTTCCTGTCACCTTGACCTGCTGGTCATCTACTGCATCCTGATCTATTTCCTGTCACCTTGATCTGCTGGTCATCTACTGCATCCTGATCTATTTCCTGTCACCTTGACCTGCTGGTCATCTACTGCATCCTGATCTATTCCCTGTCACCTTGACCTGCTGGTCATCTACTGCATCCTGATCTATTTCCTGTCACCTTGATCTGCTGGTCATCTACTGCATCCTGATCTATTTCCTGTCACCTTGATCTGCTGGTCATCTACTTCATCCTGATCTATTTCCTGTCACCTTGACCTGCTGGTCATCTACTGCATCCTGATCTATTCCCTGTCACCTTGACCTGCTGGTCATCTTTTGCATCCTGATCTATTTCCTGTCACCTTGATCTGCTGGTCATCTACTGCATCCTGATCTATTTCCTGTCACCTTGATCTGCTGGTCATCTACTGCATCCTGATCTATTCCCTGTCACCTTGACCTGCTGGTCATCTACTGCATCCTGATCTATTTCCTGTCACCTTGACCTACTGGTCATCTACTGCATCCTGATCTTTTTCCTGTCACCTTGATCCGCTGGTCATCTACTGCATCCTGATCTATTTCCTGTCACCTTGATCTGCTGGTCATCTACTGCATCCTGATCTATTTCCTGTCACCTTAACCTGCTGGTCATCTACTGCATCCTGATCTATTTCCTGTCACCTTAACCTGCTGGTCATCTACTGCATCTTGATCTATTCCCTGTCACCTTGACCTGCTGGTCATCTACTGCATCCTGATCTATTTCCTGTCACCTTGATCTGCTGGTCATCTACTGCATCCTGATCTATTTCCTGTCACCTTGATCTGCTGGTCATCTACTTCATCCTGGTCTATTTCCTGTCACCTTGATCTCCTGGTCATCTACTTCATCCTGGTCTATTTCCTGTCACCTTGATCTCCTGGTCATCTACTTCATCCTGGTCTATTTCCTGTCACCTTGACCTGCTGGTCATCTACTTCATCCTGGTCTATTTCCTGTCATCTTGATCTGCTGGTCATCTACTGCATCCTGGTCTATTTCCTATCACCTTTACCTGCTGGTCATCTACTTCATCCTGGTCTATTTCCTGTCACCTTGACCTGCTGGTCATCTACTGCATCCGCATCTATTTCCTGTCACCTTAACCTGCTGGTCATCTACTGCATCCTGGTCTATTTCCTGTCACCTTGATCTGCTGGTCATCTACTTCATCCTGGTCTATTTCATGTCACCTTGACCTGCTGGTCATCTACTGCATCCTGATCTATTTCCTGTCACCTTGACCTGCTGGTCATCTACTGCATCCTGATCTATTTCTTGTCACCTTAACCTGCTGGTCATCTACTGCATCCTGGTCTATTTCCTGTCACCTTGACCTGCTGGTCATCTACTGCATCCTGATCTATTTCCTGTCACCTTAACCTGCTGGTCATCTACTGCATCCTGGTCTATTTCCTGTCACCTTGACTAGGTCTTGGCATTGAAACAATTAGCCAAGGATGAGAGAGTGAGGCTGACAAATTGAGCAGTTCTCCTTCACTTAAAACAAAATACGGCTTAATTCAAGGTTATTTATTTTAATATTGCCTTGGTCATTCTCACATGTGAAGGCAAACAATAATTATAGTACAGAATATACCAGAATAGTTTAGGTTTGAGGTCTGTATAACATATATAAAAGAAATTATATGGATCTTGTATTTCTTTTTCTTTAGGGAAATTTTGTCTCTACAGCTAACATTTTATCAAAATATTATTATTTAAATTTGCTGGTTTAATTTTTTTTGTTTAATCAAACGGTAGACAATAAAAATTAAATAGCTTTTGATTTTGTATAAGTACTTTGTATCCTTGAACATTGAAACATTGGTTATTTCCCTTCTCACATCAGGTAAGCCCCTTAATGCCACTGATGACAAGGGCGACACAGACAAAGACAAGAAGAACAAAGCCTCTAAACTACTTTCTTATCTTTTAATAGTTTATGTTGTTTTCCTTGCTGCACTATGTATTGCAGGATTGGCAGCATTTCTCATTTATTAATACATAAATATTATAATTATCTCTGCATTGTCACACTTCACGGTTTTATTGTCTATAAACTTGTTGTAATTATATTTTTCAATTACCACAATCAAAATGCCATCTTAGTTTCAGCAAAAAGAGAACAATATGAAAAATATAAACTTTTACTTTGCTACTCAAATATTTTTTTATCAAAAAGATGTGAGATATTTAGGTAAACAAATAATATATAGAATTTATTTCAAGTTTCATACATGTAAAAACCATTATTCTTAAGGTGTGATAACATGTGCGGACCACCCCATAATTCAATATTGCAAAGTGATAATTATTAAATTTCGTTTCATTTTTTAATGCTCTAAACTTGTAATGTAAAATATAATAAGCATTAAATGACATATTTACACTGAGCATTCTTTAAAAGACCTACTGTCACTTACAGTCTTGCATGTCAACATTAGACCTACTGTCACTTACAGTCTTGCATGTCAACATTAGACCTACTGTCACTTACAGTCTTGCATGTCAACATTATGGTATTTATTTTAATCAGCTGAAATCTTTCTTAAATGTATTTGTTAAAAACTATTTAATTTTTTTCCGCTTGCGTTGGGGGCTTAAACGTAAATGAAAGAAAGCAAATTAAGATATCAGACATAAATATTTTTGTCTTCATTCATGAGGCCGTTAAATTTCAATGTTTGAGTTAATTAATTTTTTTAATGGATTAGTTACATTAAAATATAAACAATGAACCTGAAAAAGTCCAAATATATTTTTACTTGACATAAAATAATTAAGGGTAAAGTTATTCCAAGGTCGCCATACTCATAATTAATTTCTTATTACTGTTTTTTTTTATATATTTTTTTTTTTAATATTATGATTCATTATAATAATTCTATACTAAGTATATTTTAATTTTTATTAAATATTATATGATATTTATTTAATTTGTTTTTTTGCCTAGTGCATATTGTGAATTTAATTATGAAACTTGCTTTGAAACCAGAAGGCACAAACAAAAATAGCTGCCAATGGTTACTTAGCAATAAAGGGTTAGAAAATATCCTTTTTTATTTAAAAAGATGAAAAATGTCTTAATTTTATATTTTTATAATTTAGCAAATGAACACAGACATGTATCATGTATAACATCTGACACTGATTTGTTAACTCTAACCACATGATCAAACTCATTAATTACACAGTCCTCATCAAAATAACTACAGGAATTCACTATACTTAATACTAATACCTGGTTTATCTGCCCCTGTGCCACCTCTACTTATAATAAATATGTTGTATGCCTAAGATTATGCTGTGAAAACGTTTTAAGTAGACCAGATAATTATTGGATATAAAGATGTATGTGAAGAAAATCATTGCTGATGTGTAGAAGAAAATTTGTAATGAATAAAGTGCCATAATTTTTTCCTCAATGTCATGCTTTCACTAGTTATGACATCATTGTCCTACTCCTGACTAGATCTGACCTCAATGTCACGCTGTTTGCTAGATCTGACTGGGACACCTTTTAAATACTGTAACCTGCTCAGATCTACAGAGCCCTCACATCTACTCGTAAGGAAATTTAAAACATGGTTTTTGGGGATTAGAAAAGGAGCGATAATGTTATAAAAAATGTTTTAATCTTATGAAACAAATCTTTAATAATATCTCAATTAAACATTCTTGCAAAATATATCAGAATTTTGATTGAAAAAGCCGTACACAAAAACCAGTGTACATTTGGCTCATGCAGGGAGAAATCATTGTTGGTAGTTCATTGAAAATGTTATACATACATTTATATTTAAAATAAAAATATAAAAAAAATTAAATGATCTGTCCAGTAGCAATTTATGACTAATAGTTAATTTGTTCAATATTTAGTATGCTCAATATTTAGTATGTTCAGTATTTAGTTTGTTCAATATTTAATGTAATGTACATAGAAGATATGTTTTATGTTCATGTCTGCCAACGATGAGTGCACTGATGTACTTAGTGGAATGTGATGTCAAGTGCCTTGATTGAAGCCCCTGAAACTTTGTCCACTTTCTGTTCAATTCCATGATATTTTGTTTTGCTTTGTCTTCTTAAATGTCCTCATGAACAAACGAGTCAGTCAACTGTTTAATGTTAATGTCCTCATGAACAAACGAGTCAGTAAACTGTTTCATGTTTACGATATAAATAAAAATTAATTTCTTGTTCCTATCATCAATGACATCTCTTGTTTGTCTTTACAATAAATGTCACAAACAAAACATGTTAAGATTCCACAGCTAGATGTAGTTTGGCTATAGACACACAGAGTTAGATGACAGAGCTTGATGTAGCTCTCCTAGAGACACTCAGAAATACATGTAGATTCCAGGGCTAGGCCTAGCTCTGCTATTGACACAAAAAATAATTAGATTCTTGGGCTAGTAGTTCTGTCTTAGACATAGACACGGAGCTTACACAACATTCACAGATACCATAACAGAGGCATACACAACCACCTTACATCACAGATACCAACACACATACCATCACAGACACAATCACATATAACATCACAGATACCATCAAAGATACCATCCCAGATACCACCATAGATACCATCACAGATACCACCATAGATACCATCACAGATACCATCACAGGGACAAACAAAGAAATCAACACGGGGAGTCTCTAAATATCCATTTTATTTTTTTTTTTAAGCATAAATGTCAACATAATAAAACTATTTCAGTTAAGAAGACATGGATTGGTGAATTCCTAATGAACAATCGATCTCCTCTTTACAGGAATAAACTATTTACAGGTTCTTTTAGTCTTGCGTTTACGTCACATGACTTGATTCCTGTCCTAAACCAGGCCTGTACAACTCAAAATTTAATGCGGGGCATACTACTTTCTGAAAAAAAGAAGGGGCCGAAAAGAAATAGGACATGGGGAAAAGCTTTTAAGAAACAAATAATAATAAAGAATATTTTTTTACTTCGCATGCCGCCACTGTGAGAAACTGTGCAATGACTCGGAACAATGCCTACTTAAGAGTCACGGCAACCGTTTTAGAAATAAATTTATTTTCGTGAGGTTTAGCACGAAGTACTTAGATGCACACCAGGCTTTTAAAAAAAAAATTAAAATCACGCGGTGTCATTTTAAGGTCAACTACGACAAGATCCGCTAAAAATGTGACTACGACAACATCAGCTAATAATGTGACTACGATAACATCAGCTAAAAATGTGACAACAACAACATCCGCTAAAAATGTGACTACGATAACATCAGCTAAAAATGTGACTACGATAACATCATCTAAAAATGTGACTACGATAACATCAGCTAAAAATGTGACAACAACAACATCCGCTAAAAATGTGACTACGATAACATCAGCTAAAAATGTGACTACGACAACATCCGCTAAAAATGTGACTACGATAACATCAGCTAAAAATGTGACAACAACAACATCCGCTAAAAATGTGACTACGATAACATCAGCTAAAAATGTGACTACGACAACATCCGCTAAAAATGTGACTACAACATCAGCTAAAAATGTGACTACGATAACATCAGCTAAAAATGTGACTACGACAAGATCCGCTAAAAATGTGACTAACATCAGCTAAAAATGTGACTACGACAACATCCGCTAAAAATGTGACTACAACATCAGCTAAAAATGTGACTACGATAACATCAGCTAAAAATGTGACTACGACAAGATCCGCTAAAAATGTGACAACAACAACATCAGCTAAAAAGGTGACAACAACAACATCCGCTAAAAATGTGACTACGATAACATCATCTAAAAATGTGACTACGACAACATCCGCTAAAAATGTGACTACGATAACATCAGCTAAAAATGTGACTACGATAACATCAGCTAAAAATGTGACAACAACAACATCCGCTAAAAATGTGACTACGATAACATCAGCTAAAAATGTGACTACGACAACATCCGCTAAAAATGTGACTACGACAACATCAGCTAAAAATGTGACTACGATAACATCAGCTAAAAATGTGACTAAGACAACATCCGCTAAAAATGTGACTACGATAACATCAGCTAAAAATGTGACTACGACAACATCCGCTAAAAATGTGACTACGACAACATCAGCTAAAAATGTGACTACGATAACATCCGCTAAAAATGTGACTAAGACAACATCCGCTAAAAATGTGACTACGACAACATCAGCTAAAAATGTGACTACGACAACCTCAGCTAATAATGTGACTAAGACAACATCGTGATGTTTCGGTTTGAAACGCCAAATGTTCATCTCTATAAATTAACGCTGTAGCGGGAGGGACGAACATCATTGACATCATTTTCTGATCTACATCTTCACTGAGAGGGGATGGGGCTGCAGAAAAATTGTGTTGAACTTAACATCGCTAGAAACACACAACCCATCACAGATCCCAACACATCCTCTTGCATTTTCAACCAAGCATAATGGGAATACATAATTTCTGTATATGTTTAACAAAATCCTTAGTAAGGATAAGATAAGATTCTTTTATTGATTTTTTTAAAAATAGAGTTTTGATCTGCATTTTCGGCATATAGATGAACATTCTGATTAACAAAACACTTTTTAAACGATCAAATTGAAAAGTAAAACATTTAAAGTATTTCCCGAGTTCAGTAATCAGCCATCATAAATTATAAAACATGGTTACCTTCATAACAGTGGATGATTTTATGAATGATTATTTCATTTTGTAACAACTGGGCAGCCAGCTGTTAAATTCTGACAGATTGGGCAATAAATAAGCATTTCTATCTTTCAGTCCTCACTTTGAACGAAAGAGCTCGCCCTGGCTGAGCTGATCTTAAGTGACTGTTAAGAAAAAGAAGGGATGTAACCTCTAAAGAAACTGTTTTACGAATGCATTTTGCTCAGAGTAATTCTTCAAGCAAGGCTGGTTTTGTTTGTGTCATATTAACTAACAAGAAAACTTTCGCTGTCGCTGAAACACCAAATGGAAAACCTTCACCAGAAGTTTAGCACTAAACCTTATTCTATAAATTACTTTTGTCTGTATCTGTATTTAAAATGTTGACCGTACTTTTACAATTTTTACCCATGAAAGTTGACATTATAATTGTAACGGACTATGTTTTCACATGTAAACAGAGAGGTAGCATGAGTGGACAGTGAGTGTGTTCACCAGGTTTTTCCACGGGGAGAGACAATCAATGTGGATTGTATTTTTGAGAACAAATGTGAACTCCACGTTTTTGGAGAGTAAAATTATGTTTTTGTCAGAGCGGTTGTTTTGCACGCTTTGCTGGTAATAAAGTATGAGTTGACTGAGATAGTAGAGAGCTGAGCGCAGAGCAGTAGAGTCAGTCAGTAGCGTGAGAGCTGTGTGATTAGACAGTTGAGCTGAGTTATAGTAGTCTGAGGACGTGTCTTTCTTAATGATGGAATACTATAGATATATATGTGAAATTACATTCATGCAAGGATTATTTATTAATATTATCAATATAAAGTGTGTTCAATAAAGTACTGTGAGTTTTAACTAGAATTGAGCATTCTTCTTTACGTGCCTGAATAATAAGTGAAAGAATGAAGAAGACTGAGTCGGCATCCTGAAGCGTTAATATAAGTAACCATACTACTGACATAACCCACAGCATAAGAAATAACATCCCACGCCATGTCAGAATAGTAAGTGTGTTACAAATGGTGTCAGAAGTGTCAGAATACTCAGAAACAGAATACTCAACCATGCACATGACAGTCCTTTGGCTGGACACATGGGTATAAAAAAAACATTAGATAGGGTCACACAGAATTTTTATTGGCCAGGCATACACAAGGACATAAAGAAACACATAAACAAATGCATACCATGTCTGACAAAAAATCCAATACACAGTAAACACAGAGCACCCATACAACCCACAGACAAAATAGGTAGAAACTTTGAGAAGGTAGCTATAGATATCATTGGTCCTCTTAATCCACCATCAAATAAGGGACACAAATTTATTTTAACCATGATTGATATGGCATCTAGATGGCCAGAGGCAATTCCCCTCAAAAACATTAATTCAGAAACAATTTGCATGGCATTATTAGATGTATTTACAAGACATGGGTTCCCTGATAAAATATTGTCAGATAATGGAACACAGTTTACTTCCAACTTAACCAATGCAGTTACAAAA